ACCCTTTGCACCACCAGGAAGGGCCCTCAAAGATTGTTTTCAACACAAAATATCATTGTTATAATTTGAGTTCTTAGTTTTAATTTTCATTTAAAAAAATTTCAAACTTAAAGCTGAAAAAAGTAGTACTCTTTCTTCCTCCCTTCACTTACAGTCATCAATTGCTAACAATTGCCACATTTGTTGTATCACTTTAATGGATGTAATGGTTATTCCTGCTTATCCACTTGAAAACATTTTAACTTTTTAACTATAATACAATTTTGTGTCTCATCTATGAACAGACATTCATATAACCACCAAAAAAATCATCAAATTAGCATTCATGAAATGCTTCTATTTAATATTCAGTACATGTTCAAATTTTGCCCATGTCCCACTAATATTCCGAGAGCAATGACTCTTCCCCCCCCCCCCTCAATCCATGATCCAATGTAAAACTGTGCGCTGCATTTACTGTCAGGTCTCTTGAACATCCTTTAATTTGGACCAATTCCTTGGCCTTTGTCTTTCATGACATTTACATAAGCATAAACCAGTTACTTTGTGGAAGATTCCTCAGTGAAAGTGCCCTCCCAAGTGTCTTCAAGATTATATTTTGGTGATGCATTTTGTAAATACCACAGAGAAATCATGAGGCTCCACTTCAAGCACATCAAAAAGAACACCCACTATTGGTGATGCTGACTTTGATCACTGGCTTGACGTGGTTTACTGTGAAAATGACTATTTTCCCCTTGATCATTATTCTCCAGAGAGAGCACTGAAAACTGCATTAATATCCTTTCCCCTATCACACTTTCTCCACTAGTAACACTTGCCTGAATCAAGTGACCATGATGATGCAAGCAGATGATTCTTCTGACTCTATTATTACTTCTAGATTTTTTTATCAGAAGTCAACCTAGAAAAGCACCCCCCTTTTAGTTTTTATTATGAATTTGTGGGGGTTTATTGTATTCCATGAGTTATAATTCATTGATATCATTAGTCATTTCGATTATTGCTCCAGATTTGCTGTTTGGGCTCATCCCTTTGTCCTTTGGACATGTCACATTACTTTTTGGGAACAGTTCTTTACTTTGTGATACCAGATATTCCAAGCTTACCTCATATTTTTCTTGTCTCAATTCTAAAACCAGTTAGTTAGTTATGGATACTAGTTGTGCTCACTGCTACTAGAATGCAATTGGCTTCAGTCAGCAAGGAAATATAGGCATAATCACAAATTCATATCGATAACTGTAATTCCAATCTAACGCAACCGCAGAGATATTCACTGCCTTTTTACTCATTTCATATTTTTATTTCCCTTTTTTCAAGTGAGAACCTGAGAACCCTAGCTCCCAAAATATCAATGGTTTTACTCACTTGCCCAATCCTATGAAATACACACAGAATTGCCTCAAGAATCGCTCTACTAACACAATTGAGAGTTTACTACACCAAGTTCAAATTGTGGGTAGGAGTGGGCAGCTGGAAGCGATTCTTATCTTTAGAATGAGAACATTATAGTTAGTCCAGTGTTAAAACCTTACTTGGATTCATTTACTTTTTTTCTTCTGAGAGTGTCTCTCATTCACTGAAATACAGCTGGTATATTTGCTGCTACTTTATTCAATTTTGGAGTCCTAGCCCCTCAATCTGTTTATTTTATTTTTAGCAGATAAAATATTAACAAATTTCCCAAACTCAAAACTACAGATCTTTCTTAGTGGGGTTATAACCTGATAAACCCACTGTGAATAGAAAATGGATCTAATACACTTAGTCAACCAACATCAGAGGTTGGCCTATCCTACCACCAATGTGCTTAAAATCACATTTCACCCACAGTTGGGCATAATCATCCAATACAAAGTCTATTTTATAACAATGCTGAATCGCTCACATAGTTTAGTGAATACCTTACTGAAAGTGAAAAACAGTCTGTATTGTTTGTTTATCCTCCTGCTTGCGTGGCTGACTGGTAGATGTTGATCTCTGTTGCAGTCCAGCATCATCAGACTATGGTTTCACCTATCGCTAGCCAGTAAAACATCAAAATTCAAACTACAGTTACTGTAGAATGTGTATGGCTTTTGCATCAGGGTGAAGTTGAAAAATCGTAAGTCAAATCGTCAAAAGTCAGAAGCTGTTTGTGTACAAAAAGGTATAACGAGAGTAGAGTCACCATACATTTTACTCAGTTCCTACCCTCCCACTAGAGGTAACTAGTTTGTTATCTCTCTGGCATTTATTTTTGTTGTATCAAATGATGCTTTCTCAACACAGAGCCGAGTCATAGGAGGTTGCTGAAGCAGAACACCAGATTCAGAAAGAATTTTATTTGAAGAGGGAAGATATATCCCTTCATATGCTTGTATAATAGAACATTTGTGTGAAAACGTAAATGAGTCTACTGAAGTGGATAAGTGAAAAGGCAGCAGTGCAGGGATAGTTGTAGGGGGAAATAACTATGAAAATACTTTAATTTGAGGAACTTCAAAAGGTTCCCATATTCTAAAACAGGTTGCAATTCGCTTCTACCCTTTCAAATTAGTCATATTGATGAGTCTAGACAACCCACATTAAAATGGGGCTATTATTTTGGAAGGATAATGAAGTTATCACTACCTATTAAAGTCAACAGGGAAATTTGCTCCAGAGAAGGGGAGATTTTAAATTTTGAGCAAAACATATAGCCAGAAATGATGTGAAAGAATGGCTAGTGTAAGCATCTGTATAATAACATGGATGGATAGTAATGATGATGCTGGAAAAACACACCCACGTCTTTGTCAAGTCTGGGAAAATTTTATAAATATGCTAATGAGTAGTTGCGGGTCATTCTTCATGCTCTGGCCCTAAGTTAATGTGGCACAGAGAACAGAACATGAATTTCAGAGACAGATGTCTGGTCTTGAATCCCAGCTGAATTACTTAACAGCTTGGTGACCACAGGAAAGTTACTTAATATCTCAGAGGCACAGTTTCCTTACCTATAGAACTGGATAACGTCTCCTTTGGTAGGTTAATGTGATATGTAAATAGAATAAAATATAATATAGCCTCTGGCCCAGAACAGATGTTTAATAAATCCATATTAAACTAATTCAACTAGGTAAAGAACCTGACACAATTAGTGCACTTCAAAAATGTGCCTGAAAGAAATCAGAAAAATTACATCATCTCAAGCAATATTTGGTAAAGGAAGAAAAATGTCCAACACTTAGTTCCAACTCTCAATTTTCAAAATGTCCCAAGGCTATTTTTAAAATGCAAAAATATGAAAATATGTGCTGACATAAAGAAAGAATTCTGGAAAGAAGTTGATCAAATAGTACAAATTTCCAGTTACAAAATGAGTAGGTTTCAGAGATAAAGCATGGTCATGATGGTTAATAATATTGTATTGTATACTTGAAAATTGATGAGAACAGACCTTAAATATCTTCACCTCATACGCACAGATAATTATGTGAGGCTATGGATGTATTAACTAACTTTATTATAGTGATCATTTTGCAGAAAAAGATGTATATCAAATTATCACAAGATATATTTTAAACGTACACAATGCTATATATCAATTTTATCTCAATGAAGCTGGAAAAAAATAAAAGAAACAATTCTACAGTTTAACAAAGACCAATGACTCAGAATGACCTCCTAAATGTCTACTGTTCACAAAGAGATGAATGGAAGCATATTGTAAGCCACATTAATCAATTTTATATTTTTTAAATGTATATACAGAGTAGTTCACGATGGTCAATACAATTATATTTTACAAGTTTCTGTTTCAAATTCACCTACCAACCAAAATACAACATGGGATATTTTTAAAATGATCTTTGACCAAGTACTGAAATATACAATAAACTTTCAAAACCTAAGATTAGTAATAACCTGAAGTCCTACAGCTAAGTCTTAAAAGGTACAATGCCAAAAGCCCCAAAGCATACAATTTTATGTGTACAGTCCTTTTGCTTGCCAACTAGAAATGACTTCCTGTTCATCTTAGATAAGCAGGGTGGCTCTATCTCTGTTCCCTAAGATGTATTTAAAAGTCACAATCTCAGTTTGCAAGACTATGATGGACTGATAATAAAGCGTTCTAATCAACAATTAAATTACTAACGTTTTAAGAAAACTTGCCACTAGCGTGCGAAGGCACAGACCCAGCAATTTTGCCCATTCCCAAAAGAAAAAAGATGTAACGACATACTTTACTAAAAGAAAGGGAAGGAATAGGAGAAAAGGGAAGAAAGATACATAATAAAAAAGCAATGCTTCTATAAACAAATGATTCTGTTTTTAAACTTTTGGAAATCCAAGCTCTCCTTTCGAATAGCAATAAATGCCAAAGTAAGAAACATTCGTTGATGCTTTGACGCAGAGAGGGAGTGTGAAGAGAAAAGGAAAATGTTTTAGCGTGTACTGAACTTCCAAGTTTTCAAAATTCATTAACCCCACCCTCACCCCAACTCCCCCAACTGGGCGTATCATTTCCAAAATACATTTACCACGAAACCACTGGACTCATTTTTAGCACTCAGTGGAGAACTTTTATGAGTTTTCCCAGCGCTCTCCACCTAATAACCCTTCAGGGCAGTACGGAATAACCGCTATTTTCCTGCAAGCATGAGGGCGCCCTGAGTCCCTCGGAGAAGCTTTGGGGCACCTAGAGGAATCTGGGGAGGTGGGAACCCGGACTACCAACTACCCCCTTTCTTTCCAGAGCGGGCGATCGGAGAAGCCCAAGGAGAGTCCGAGACTTCGGTGGAGCCGCGGGTCACCGCACAGGAACAGACGCGCGCCCGCCCCGTCGCCCTGAGTAAGGTCCGCCGCCCAGGGCTGCAGACCCGGAGTCAGACGCGATCGGATACGTCCCGCGCCGCCTTCCGGGCCGGGTTCCGTCGGGGAGGCTTGGCTGCGCCTCCTGCCCCTTGTGGGAGGCCCGGGATCCCCCCTGTGGGGCGCACCGACTAGCAGACCCTGGCATGCTCGTCGCTTACCTGGCGAGAGCTCCGGCCCGCGCCGTCAAGACGCCGCCTGGGTCTGCTGGGCGCTCAGCAGCCCCTCGCCCACAGAGCCAGCCTGCAGATCGCAGCGCGACGCCCCGCCGAACCAAGCGCCGCCGAGAGTCGCCGGCCACACCCAAGCCCGCGCAGCCCAGCAGCCAACTCCGATGCGCGACGGGGCCGGGGCGGGGACGTGGCTCGAGGCGCGAGGCGCGAGGCACGAGGCGCGCGGGTCCTGCGGGGACGCGCTGCGGGTTCGTGCAGATTTTGGAGCGCGCGCGGCCCAGGAGAGGGGCGGGGGGCGAAGGGAGCGGGCGTCGCGCGCAGCTTCTGCTTCCTATTTTCTCTCTGGTTTCCTGCTAGAAGAAGAAAAACATCAATTCCCAGGCAGTTTCGTTTTCTTGTCCGCATGGCGCCTGGACGCCGGGGACACTTCTGAGCAGCACCCGAGCGGCGTGGCCAGTTTCCTTCCTTGGCACCACACAGGCCTTAGTTTGTTCGTGGGCATGATAGTGAGGCTAACTCATAGAACCCCAAGGTCCATCTAGGTTTAACACTGCAATTCTTAATGAACGACGATAAACTAGAGAAATACAAGATTGGGGTGTAACCCTAGCTGTATAATGGCTAGTTGTACAGTTCTGTAGCGTCTCATGATTTCAGTTTTGTCGTCGGCAAAATAGGGATATTGATAGCCGCTTCAAAAAAGATGCTAAAATTATTAAATGAAGTAGCGTTTGTACAGAGTCTGCCTCTAAAGGAATGATCAGTACTTGGCAGTTACTGTTACTTTTGTCACTGATGAAACCGGAAGGCCTTCCAAATAACCCTGTCCAGTCCCTCATCTCTGCAGGAGTTAGACATCTTAGGCGTTTCTCTGGGTATTTTGTTGTTTAAAATATCATAAAATAAATGCATCTACTCAATTTGCTTCCTCTGAAGTCTGTCCCCTGCCCGGGAGCAGTTTTCTTCTCCCCACCCCCTATCTTTCTTCTGAGTTAATTCCAGTTTGACAGACTGTTGCTATAGCATTCCTTCTCTGACGTCAAACAATTTAAAGAAACAGCCCTGGGTAACAAAAACTGCAGAGGAGTTCTTTGTGGAGTTTCTATGCTGGAGAAAGGTTTGAACAATATCAGAAGAGAACTTTAACACCTCCGCACCTTCCATTGCTGCTTCTGCAGCTGCTTCCCACTATCAACCTGGAATAAATCTCTTAGAACCTTAAGAGAGATGATGGTAAACATGCTCTGATCGCGACTGGTGAAAATGTAATCATTTTTGTATAAAAGCCAGGCCGAGGCAAAAATGGAAGCAGTTGTAGTGCAAGAATGATGAGACTACCCTCTTGCCCCCTCCCCAATTTTCATTTCGCTAACACTGGTTGGTGCCCTTTTCCATTAAATAGAGGAGAATAGCAGTGCCAGAAAAGTTTGAGACCTGAGTGGCCTTCACCTTTAATTGTCTTAATAATTAAATCCTGAACTTTATCATTGTCATTTTTTTGGAGAAAGCAAAGTGAAATTGTTACTTAAGGAACATCTATTGTGTATCAGATTCTCTGCTTTCTTATGTTGTACTTAATTATCATGTTCACCTTAGAAGATACCCTATTTTAAAGATAAGGAAACTGAGTCTCAAGGAGATGAAATAATTTACTTAGACATTGGGATGAAGGAGATTTGTTTGGAATTTGGATTGGATCGACTGTTGCGTCCACTTTCTTTAGATTCTTTTGAGCCTTGTTCTTGAGCACTGACTAAGAACACTGTAGAGCTATGAGAGTTGGTTGGGTTAAGACAGTTAAACAAGTTGCTGATGTTTAGGAAAACCAGGGAAACAACTAAGATAATGATTCCAGAAAAGGTTAGGGGAAATGTAAATCAACAGCTCCTAAACAAAAAAGCCTGAAAAGAAGAATTTTACTGACCATTGTGTGAAGATTTGAAAATCAATTATACAAAAGAATGATTTCAACCTTCCTGAAAATTTGCTGTGGACAGATAATTTACTAGAAGAATAAAATACAAGTACAAAAAAAGTAAGTTCACTGAAGATTGGGACAAGTCCACTCCCTATATTATATTTCAATTTTGACACATCCACTGCCTATTTTTCTGAAAAGACCATTTTCCTATGCAGGGATAATTCTGTATTGCAAATCTCAAGGTAGAGCTGATGAAAAGAATTTAGTTAAGAGGAATAATTTCCTAAGAGCATAGTAATGCATGTTACCTATGAAGCAATTAGTAATTTTTCAAATGATAGTGTCATATGTAATTCGTGGGAGAGAGAGAAAGAAGGAAGGGAGGAGGGGGAAAGGGAGAAATGCAGTTAATATTTTTAAAGCTATCTGGTCTGTATAGACAGTTGTAGGTGAGGTATCCTACTACTGGTGATTAAACCCAGTATTCTTGTGTATAAATGTCATTAGCCAATATTTAAATTTCTACAGCTTTAGGTTCATAGTCTCAAATCTTACTCCATTAAGAAAAAGATGGTATGCACCCTGCTAGAGAATCATTGAAGACAAAATTACTGTTTGTTTCACCTTTGTGTCCTCCAAAGTTTTTAATATAGTACCTTGCATATACTCAGTGAACAAAGAAATGAGTGAATGAATGCACTTGGCCACTGACTTTACTCAAATGACCTTTATACCTTACCCTACCTCTGTAGACCCAGATTCATAGAAAGGGGAGAATGACCATTATTTTCTGTGAATTTAGTTGCAGTTACAGTGTGGTGTTTTGCTCCCTTATGATCAAATTCAGAGAAGCTCTGCTCCTGGTTCTATGTTGGACAAATCTGAATCCCGTGAGTCATCAAGCCATAGATTTGTAACCTCTGCTTTTCAGTTGTACTCTAGGAATGATCTGTTTATTTTTCTGAACCTACTTTACTCTCAGACAATGCAGAGCCATCAAATGTACAATATCTAATACCACTCCACTGTATGGGCTGTATGCATTCCAATTCTGTTGCATTCAGGGCAAGGCCAAGTTATTGTCACTCATCAGAACTAAAGTAATGAGGTTTTGTTCAACTCTAAGAAAATTTCCAAAGATTAAGTGGAACTTATTTATTAAGCATTTGCAGCTGAGTTTCCCAGGATGTGCAAAGTGATTCCTTAATAGAGCCTATGAGAACTTTACATGTTGCTTCTGACATCCTTGTTACAAAGCAGTAAAGTCTAAAATCTTCCTTTTTACTTAAGGCATTTTGATATCAAATCTTCTCACATCTTATATTTTGAGTCACCCTTTGTGGTATTCTTCTAAAACAAATAAGTTAGAGCTCTGGAACCTCTCTACTCTGGTTCTCTAATGACAGTTTATATATTGTTCCTGTGCAAATCAGTGGCCCTAGGAGACCACTGTACTTAACTGATCATGCCTGTCATAGACATGAAGGGGGAACTAACACCCTGCAGATATTTGCTGTGGTAGGTCCTGCAGTTTAAGTTTCTGTATTCTGTTATGGAGAAGGTACACACCATGTGAAAAGAATACTAAACTGCATGTAGAAGACTTGAAATAGAACTTTTTCTCTGGTACTAAATATCTATCATATCTCGGTGATTTTGAGCAGATCACAACTACCAGCATTCTGTCTTATTCTATATATAAAATAAGAGTGTTGGATTCCAATCAGATTGTCAAATGGACACTATGATGTCCATGGAGAACTTCATCAGCCAAACATGAATTCTTTCCCTTTAAGGCTCATCTTATCCCATGAATTATTTTGAGCACTCTTTGCCAGGAATGCACTCTGATTGTTAATGTTGATAAATGAGTCATTGTAACATTGAATGCTAAAACATTAGCTACTATGGATTTGTTCAAGCCATCTCAAAATTTAGTGGAGTAGAACAACAGCAATCATTTATTTTGCTCCATAGTCAATTTAGGTGGGGCTTGGCAGACACACACTCCTCTCTGCTCTAGATAATGTCAGCTAGCTTGACTCTGTTTTCAAGACAGCTGGCTCATTTGCCTGGAAGGTTGGTGTTGGCTATTGGTTGGAAGATCTGCCAGAGATGTGGAAGAGACCTTCCTTCCCCTTAGTGTAAGTTTTGTCATAGGTTATTATGAGTTCCTCACACTACAGAGGCTGGATTCCAAGAACATTTTTCTAAATAAGGAGGAAGTTGGTAGCACTTTTATGACTTAGCCTCAGGAATCATATATTACAGTTTCCACCCTACCTGCTTGGTAACAAATTCAGGGAGTATCACCTTTTGCTGGAGGGGTTGCAAGTTTCTCGAAGAGCATATAGTTACCAGTTATTTTGAAAATACAACCTGCCACAATATATTCTCTAATTCTGGTTTAATTTATGTGAGCTAAACTATCTAAGATTCTGTTTTTCCATTCCTTCCTCCCTTATAGCATTGACTTATCTTGATGTGCTCAGTCTCAAAGATTTTTCAAATAATGAAAACTTTCTTGCTTTCCCTGTTAATTTTTTTTAGCTTTGCTTTCTTTGGTAATTTTAACTTTTAAAATTATCATACTGTAAAATTAACCTTTTTATTTTGGTATAAGTTTCTATTATTTAAAACACTTGTATAGATTCATGTCCCCACCACTGTAACCATATGATATAGAATAGAACCACAAACACCAAAACATCTTTTCATGCTATCCTAGTGTTATTAGTAGTTTATTATAACCATAATTATCATTACTATGTAGCCTATCTCCCTTCCTTCCCTAATCCCCAATAACCAACTATTTGTCTTCCATCTTGGTAGTTTTTTCTTTTTTGAGACTATCATATAAACAGAGTGAGATTGTATGTAACTTTCAAAAATTTTTTAAAAGATTTATTTATTTATGCATACAGAACTAGGTATAGGCCAGAGGTGCAAGGGCAGTGAGAGGATTCACCAGAGACAGAGTGAGGAGCAGAACAGGCAGATTGACGGAGTACACTGCTGAGGGAAGCAGCGAGCAAGATAGGAGAGGTCTGCTGGGCCATGTGGGTTACCTCCAAGGTGGGGGATCGAACTCATGTTGAAGTGCCTGTGGCCAGCTTCCTTGGGCTGTGCTTTTAACCCTTTGTGCCATCAGGAAGGGCCCTGTAACTTTTTTCCCTACCCCAGTCCAGTGAATGCATCTCTGTCAAATTAATTTTCCTAAAACACAGCATTGATTAGATCTCCTTTTTGGCTCAAAGTACCTACAATCGCT